TTGACAGCGCTTACTCCCACCTCCGCTGGTGGAGTAAGAGCGTCGATTCAGGGATCGATTGTCGCGTCCTGACGAGACGCGATAATTCGATCCCCGAGAGATCGATTTCTACCCGCCGATTCAGGCGGGTAGTGTAGACCTAGCCTTAGAGACAATCTCTTGTTTCCTCTGACTGGCCTTCAAGAGGGTGCAATAGCGCCTTAAAGGGAAGCTTTGTAGGAAGCCTTTTGTTAGCAAATGTAACAGCCCCCCTCAAGACTACTTGCAAATAAAGACATGGATTTTGGCACGCCCCCCTCCCAGTAGTCAACAGCATACAGACCAGATTTTCTAGAGTTATTATTATCCCCCCATTCAGGCCAGACTTTCAGAAGACCTCCATCCCCATTTAGGCACCAAAATCCGTGGCCAGAGCTGAACATGGTGAGTGCTGAACGCTCTGTTATTTAGGCATATGCTTTTCAAAAGTGCCTAAGTGACTTAGGAGCACAAGTCCATTGAATTTCAATGAGACTTGTCCTTCTAAGCAACTTGAGTGCTTTTAAAAATCCTGCCCTAGGTGCCTAAATAGGATCTGAGCTCTTTTGAAAGACAGGCCCCAATTATGGTGTCTGAGCACTTGTACATCCGTCTTTGAGCTCTTTTGAAAATCTGGCCCTTTGTGTTAGACCCAGGACAATGTGTCTTCTGCATAGAAATCATGTTAGACAAAAATGATTCTTTAGTTTAATACACCTTAATGGACCATATGTTCTTGATCATCACAGGCCCTATTTAATGCAAAGAAATAAATAGCTGAAAAGGACACTATGAAGGAGTTCAGTTTTAATTGGAGCATACTGAAGCTCTGGAAAGGTGCTCCAGTTAGCCATAGGGAGCCATTTTAAAGGATGCAAAATTTGGATGGGTGACACAAAGAATATCAAGAACCCTTCCCTCTCTTCACCCTCCTGTAATTTTATAGCTTTCCTATAAAGCATATACGGCTGTACTTCCAAAGTGTATTTATCTGTATCCGCAAAAAGAACAGGAGTACTTGTGGCACCTTAGAGACTAACAAATGTATTAGAGCATAAGCTTTCGTGGGCTTCAGCCCACGCATCCGAAGAAGTGGGCTGTAGCCCACGAAAGCTTATGCTCTAATAAATTTGTTAGTCTCTAAGGTGCCACAAGTACTCTTGTTCTTTTTGCGGATACAGACTAACACGGCTGCTACTCTGAAACCTGAAATTTATCTGTCTTTGTATCTCTTTATTAAACAATATGTTCAACATTGGTTAGGAATGTGCATGGAATGTTTGTTTAGTTCTCCTTCAGTGACCAGGTAGGTGAGGTAATATCTTTTATTGGACCAACTTCTGTTGGTGAGAGAGACAAGCTTTCAAGCTACACAGAGTGCTTCTTCAGGTCTGGGAAAGGCACTCCGAGTGCCACAGCTAAATACAAGATCGAACAGATAGTTTAGCATAAGTAGTTAGCTCATATGCTAAGGGACCATTCAAGGTGAAGTGGCCCATGATGAATGGACAATCTGGTCTCTTACTGGCGAGCTGTGAGTGTAGCACATGGCCATTTGATTAAACTATAACCTGCTGAAGACTTCAGCTGACATGGTACACTCTCTGACTTAGTAAATGGACATAAGGTGAGTGGGTCTGTCAGCATGTGCTCTTTGAAAACATGAGCTGCTTATTCTCATCTGTCAGCAAACTTCCGGTGCAGGGTTTAGAATTTGCTTGCATCAATGCTCAAGAGTTTACTGTAACATAATAAAGGGTACTTAACTCCTGTTAATCATTGCCTGCTCTTATTTTTATCATGTAATTATCACAGTAAGAAAAGAGACAGAGGACAGCTGCATTCCCCCAAATATATATTTTACTTCATCTGATGCTAAGTTATTTTTTCACTGGGCATATTTGAGAAAATTCTAGTGACTAGTTTGCTTTTTGTCTTAGGCTTGGGAAGTTAGATGAGAAAAAGTACCCCTCTTTCTTTACAGTTCAGCTTTATAACAGTGTCTGTCTGCTGGACTTCTTTAGCTATTGAGCTTTTCTACATGGAAAAATGTTTTATTACAGCTATGTTGAAATAACTGTTCCATTATAGTGATACTGGTGTAAGTCCCTGTGTGGACACTTGATTCTGGTATAACTACTCTGCTCCCAAATTATTCTGTTAATATCTGAATAAAATCACTCTGATCCCAGAATAAAGTGTCCATACAGGGACTTATAACCAGTATTACTATAGTGCAGAAAAATGATTATAGTATAGTTTATACCAGGAAATTTTCCCATGTAGACTAGTTCATATGTAAAGTTAGCCTTACAAAATTACACTTGTCCAGGGTGAGTAGATTGTGCATTTTTTGTTAATAAGTGAGTAAAATATTATATTTCTACTCATCCTCTTGGTAAGGGTGAATGAGCTGATCTTGTGCCTGGGCTAGTAAATCTTCAGCATTATTGCAATGAGAATAGGCTTCAGTATTGGAGAAATAGACCTCAGGAATTCTCATACTCTGTATACAACTTGCTTAATAAAGTGATAATGCTTAGAAAGAACTAAGTTAACCTTAATTGTGCCTTGTCTAACTCAACCGTTCAGACTTTTAACTGATCTAGGAGTAGGGTGGCGTACAAGCTCTGATAGTGATCGTATTCAGGGAAAGGGCTGTTAATAATGTCTAGTTTTTTGTTTTGTGTGTGTTTTTTTTTTTTTTTTTTTTTTTAACCCTTTCATTTTCAGATAGTTGGATTAAGTTTTCTCACAAATGGGCTCTTAATTGAACCTGCTTACCCTTTCTTGAAACCTTTCTTGATGCTAATTCCGTGTCTGCTGTGGAAGCTCAAAGAGGGATAACTTCTAATTTTGGGTGCTCTCTTTGGCTCTGAAGGAGCAGTTTAGCGGAAGTGAAGTGAGGGAAGTCACGTGCCTGATACTTTTACCATCCGTTCAGACTTATTGCTATATTAAGATAATTTGTCGCTGCTGTTTAGAGAATCTACCTTGCAGCAATTGAAGTGGTCTGTGTCTGGCTGAGAACTTAGAATGCATCTTCCCTTCCATCATGGTTTTGAAAGTGAATAGTATTTATAAAGTGATGCTTAGAAATGGTTTTTCTGGATATCATCCTTCACTTCTTTAAAATCATCCCTAGAGAAAGTGTTCCTGCTGCATTCTCTAAAGGGCTGTGAGCCAGCTCCTGAAATCCTTACTCTCACAGCACTAAGTTCATTGGGAATGTTGCCTGGGTAAGAGCTTCATGATTTGGCTGAGCAATAATTTGAAGGCTTGTCCCTAGATATTTGCTGCAGCTGCAATTTATTATTGTTGTTGGATTCAGGAATCTGTGTATCTGCCTGGGTTCTTGTTCGGATGTACTGTTTCTTAGACATGACATACTTTTAAGACCTGGAGCTAAATTATGGTTTGTTTTCTTCATGTAGAAGTTGAACGTATTGGCTGCTGTCCCAAATTTAGCTGTCCTTTGAATTGCTATATTTGGCTCTTCTTCTTTATTTTTCGACCAATATTAAATCAAGCTTTCTGGTTGGCATGTTATTGACTAGAAGAAGTAATGAACTTGAAACCTTTTTGACTGGTTATTATTGAATCAGTTTATTTGATCCCCGCAGTGGCTATTTTATGTATGTATTTTCTGTTTGTGCATGATTGGAATGGCTTAATTGCTTTAGTCTATTGGCTATGCTTTATTTGCTCCTGTTCTCTGCCTGTGGTACACAACAATTTAGTCTCCGGAGGATTATAATACTTTGGTGTAATTCTGGTTGTTGGGGGTTGATGTGTGAGTACTAGGTGGTCTTGGTGCCCTGTGACATACAGGAGGTCAGACGAGATGATCTGATGGTCCCTTGTGGCTTTAAACTCTCTGACTTTCTTTGTATCACAATGGAAGTCAGAGGTTTTTGAATGGATTGTCAGATCTTTAATCACATGTGCAGATCAGTGTTTAAAACATTTAGACAAACTTTGCAGGAAGTTGCATATCACCTATTAAAAATCTGAACCCAAAAATAGTTTGTGTGGAGGTGGTGTAATATTAATCAAACCATTAACCAGTACTGCTGAGTCATTGAACCCACTAGGTGGATCAAGGAGTTCCACCAGGCATGAATTTGGTCCAGTGCCTCAAAGAGGAGGGGGATAGATATTATCTAGCTGCTCTTGTATTATTTTGTCTGTACTGAAACTATTTACATACACCAAGGACCTAGTTGTGTGACTCTTGCTAGTGTGCACGTAAGACGTGATCTGGCAAGATGATGCATGTAAGTGCAAGGATTCAGGGTCTTACTCCAGTAGTCTTTGATTTCAGTGGTGGTACTCCTCTTACCCCTGCAACATTGCTTAGTCCTGGTCTACTTTTAAAAGTTAGATTGATCTGGCTTTGTCATTCAGAGCTGAAAATTTTATGCCCTGACTGCTGTAGTTAGATTGACCTAACCCCCAGTATAGACATGGATAGGTTGACCGTAGAGTTCTTTCAATGACCTAAGTACCACCTCTCAAGGCTGGTCTACACTAGGCGGGGGTGTCGATGTAAGATACGCAACTTCAGTTACGGGAATAGCGTAGCTGAAGTCGACGTATCTTATTTCGACTTACCTCCCGTCCTCACGGCGCGAGATCGACGGCTGCGGCTCCCCCGTCGACTCCGCTACCGCCGCTCGCCCTGGTGGAGTTCCGGAGTCGACAGGAGCGCGTTCGGGGATCGATATATCGCGTCTAGACGAGATGCGATATATCGATCCCCTATAGATCGATCGCTACCCGCCGATCCGGCGGGTCGTCTGGACGTACCCTCAGAAAGGTGGATTAACTGTATTGATGCAAAAACCCCTTCTGTTGATGTTGGAAGTGTCTATACAACGGTGCTGCAGTGCTATATCTGTGCCACTGTAATGGCTGTAGTGTAGACATATCCTCAGTGAGCTCAGATAGCTTAATCAAATTACACTCTCTTTGCTGCATAGGACAAATTTAGAGGCGCTGCAGAAGAAGCTGGAAGAGTTAGAATTGGATGAGCAGCAACGTAAACGTCTTGAAGCTTTCCTTACTCAGAAGCAAAAAGTTGGGGAACTGAAGGATGACGACTTTGAGAAAATCAGTGAACTGGGAGCAGGAAACGGCGGCGTGGTCTTCAAAGTATCTCACAAACCTTCTGGCCTCATTATGGCAAGAAAGGTGAGAACCTCCGTGGCAACAGGAGCTTTAATGATGCCTTTTCAAAGTTTAGTGCCCATCAAAAAGTGACATTGACACACAGAATATTACTAAAGACCAACTTCCAGGAGAAGTGGAAATGCCTTCTAAAAATAGCAAAGGTCAAATACTTCTTTAGCCTCCATTTCCCCTGTCTGCGAACATGGTATTATGTTCCACGTTGTAGCGATGAAAGGCCAATAATCCCCTCCCTTTTTTGTTAGCAGGTTCTCATATTTTGTAAAGTAGGAGGTATTTTATTTACTGCCAAAAATCTTCTCTCTCTCTCTCTCTCTCTCTCTCTCGCTCTCTCTGACGCAAAATCTAAATACACTGTAGAACCTCACTAATGACTAGGATATCCACAACTAATTACTAAATGTTTTGGATTAGCAAAGCGGCATATCCTGTCCCCTAAGCCAGGCTTGTGTACAGAGGCTTAATACATTTTACACTGTTGGGGTTGGAGGAGGGGGAAATTCTCCTCCTCATACCTCTCCCTCCACAGGCTGCTGAGGAGGAGTAGACCTACTCTGTGTCTGCTACTGCACCATCAGGGCTCCTTTATTGTGGAGCAGGGGGAATGGCCGGTGGAACCACTGTCTCAGCCCCCCTGCCTCCTTCACTGGAATGCAGGAAGAGCCCCTTGTCTGTGTAGTAGGAATACCCTGCCACAGGGAGAGCTCTTTCTGGCGAAGTAAAAAATGTAACTTTATGCATTTGGCAAGTGTCACGTAATTATTTAATATTGCATAGCATGCTACTAAATCATGTTTATTAGAGTAGTGACTAAGGGCCAACCAAGAATAGGGTCCCATTGTCCTAGGTGCTGCACAAACAGAGCAGCAGACTGCCCTGGCCCTGAATAGCTTGCACTCTCAATAGACCACGCAGACAGGGGAAAGGGATAAATACACAAGTAGTGTGAACAATGTGATGGTGGCAAACATCATGTTAGTGCCACAACATATTTATTGTTTGGGATTGTTTTAGTTAGGAGGGGATCAGCTAAACGGAAAGCGGAGGGGGGAATAGGGTAAGAGGGGCAGGTGTGGAATGAAGCTGACTGAAAAGACCGTCTTGGCGGGTGGGACGAGGGGGAGCAAACAGCCAATCAGCACAGGGCAGAGGCTATCCGAGAACTTTCTGCAGTTCTCACTGGAATATCCAGGGGTCCAGAGGTCCCTCCTTTGGCTACTTCTGGTTCTACTGGCCAGAGTCTCTGGCTGCCTGTTCTCTGCAGTTTTCCCCCAAGGTCATATGGTGGTGTGGGTGGGGGAGTGGAGGCGAGGCATCACTTGGACCTTAGTGCTCCCTAGTGGAGGAGGAGGTCTCCCCTCTCCAGTTCTGGGTCCAGGTGGTGGTTGGGAGCGGGGGAGGGGAGGGGTCCATGATGGTCCAGCTCCATTTCACCCCCTCTACCCAGTGCAGCAGTCTGGCAGTTTCTGTAAGAGGAGTAGATTGAAAACTTTCCATCAAAACTCTTTTTCATCTGAAAATTGGGATTTCAATTACATGAATTTTTTTCACGAGAAGCATGTGTTTTGTGGAGTTTTTTTTTTTTTTTTTTTTACTTTTACTGAAAACCAAAAAACTTCGATTTTGAAATGCTGCTCTGGTATCTCATGAGAACTGTAGTTCAGATGCATTATGCCCCCATTCTCTATGTGCTGGGTTCCCTGGCCAGACTACATCTCTCATCAAGCACTGTGGTCAGGAACGTCTATTATGCCCTGCTTTGGCTCAGCAAGAGAGGAGGCCATCATAAATCACAGGAGATGTAATTCAGCTACGGAGCTTGGCCCATAGAGGGGAATGGGGCACGAGGCACCCAAATTATAACCCTTGTGAGGCACCATGGCAGAATTTCAAAATCAGGGTTTTCAGCTGAAAGTTTTTAGTTTAAATTTTTGGCTCAAAAGTCAAATATTTCCACAGAAGATTTTCAAGAAAGTGACATTATTTTCATTTGCATCAAAATTTTCCACAAGGGAAAAAAACATTTTCCAATCAGTTCTCTTTAGTAATATACATCACTATAATGTTCTGCTATCAAAGCTGTGGGAATCAAGGCGAGTTGGCCCTTTTTCAGGGTGAGACTTTTGAAGTTCACAGATCAGTGAGAGTCTCTTGCACAGAACCAATTTACTTGATTTTTTTTCCCACCCATTTTATAAAACGTTTAGAGGGAATTTCAGCCTAGTTTGTGTCATTTAACACTTATCACTTATAGGCTATTCAATCAATTATCTTTGCTTAATTGCTTTCCTTCAATGTGCCCAGTACCATTTTGTTTTCCATAAAGTATTCTCTGAATCTGTACTCTTTCTGAGAGAAATAAAAATCCCTTATTTTGCATTAGGCAAAACATAGTCTAGCTAAGCAGTGTAATTTTATAGCTTCTCTTTAGATATATATTCATATTGATGAATTTTTTTTAAATGCCCAAGGTGTGACTGAATTTTGTTCTTCGCTGAATGTATTTGGGACATGGCTTGCAAGCAGCTGCAGAAAGACATCTGCCCAGATGTTTGCAAAGCAATTAGGCATTGTGACATATTTTGCTATGTAACTTCATTCATGGATTTTCCTCAGTATACATGGTCTAAATAACTAAAATAGATCCATTAACAGTAAATAGATGGAAGAGGAAAAAAATGCATTGGAACAAAATGTTCCCACTGAAGAACTTCTTGAAAAGATAAGATAAAAATCCCACTCTTGGTAATATTAAGTACTATACATCAGGTATTCTTTTATGCTATAATTAATGTCTCTCAAGAACTGTGATTGTCATAGAGCAAAGAGTAACATGTTGCATTTTAACAATTATAGTAGATTATCTTACTTGCCTATCATAATTAGAATTTTAATTTTTATCAAAAGAGCAATTTTCTTGCTACCACTGCAGGTTGGGAAGATTATCTTGCATTTTTGTTTTAATATAGTTGTTTTCTTTTGTATTTTGGGTGTCTTTAAATTGAGGAAGAAAATGTCTTTACACAGTACTCTTATCTGCAATGTTGGGGGCTTACTTGTGTAGTTCTAGAATATCAGAAATGTCCTCCACTTGAAAAATAAATAAATAAAAATCCACACCTTTGGTGCACTCACTGTATAATAAGACTTTTTTATATCTTAGTTAAGGTCTATTTGATGTTGTGTTATTTATATTAAATATAAAATATTAGTTTAAAAAAAAAAAAGCATTGTTTAGAATGTTTGTTTTAGTTGAAATAGACCATTCCCTAGTGGCCACACACATGCACAGAAAAGTTGCATATTGCAAATTGCATCCTTTTGTTAGTTTCACCAGAAAAGCAAGCTATTAACTGGACACAGAGACTTAGCTATCTCCTGTCTTCAGACCCTTCCATTCATGTCAAGTTGGAGACATAATGGTGCGGCTCATATGGGGAGCTTTCATTGCTCTATGTGTACTGTATCTATTCTGAGGATAATTCCATTGCTATAAATCCAGCATCTTTTCATGAGCACTGGAATTCACGTACTGTTGTTTTTGTAAAGGGTACAAATGTGGAACTTCCCCAGTAACAGGTATGCCTACAGTTCTATAGGACGATAATGCTTAGTATTATTATTTTAGTGGGTTAAAATAAATATTGCAGTATCCAAGTCATGTATTTTTCTTTTAAATTGTCACTGAGGGAACAATAACAATTGATTTATTTTACAGTTAATTCACTTAGAGATCAAGCCAGCTATTCGAAACCAGATCATTCGTGAGCTACAAGTTCTACATGAATGTAACTCTCCATACATAGTGGGCTTTTATGGAGCTTTTTACAGTGATGGAGAGATCAGCATTTGCATGGAACACATGGTAAGTACATGTCTATCTGTGTGTGTTAATCTAAATTTTGGTATCAAACTCCTGTGAATATAAAATCCAATAGATACCGTATTCTGCATATATTCAAAGAACCTCTGTTAACATGGGAGCCTTTTATGCATGTATGGCGAGTGGAATATTGGAGTACAGCTCTACCATGCAAATCTGAGGACTTTGGATTTAGCATGGTTATGTTTTTACACCCTTTCCAGAGATTGATCCTCTGTATCTGTCATAGCCCTACAAAAGTCCCTATATTCTTCTCCTTTATCCCTAGTCTTTTCGAATCCACATTATAGCGACCATTCTTACAGCCAGTCAACATGCTGTTTAATCAGTCAGAGGCGTTACTGTTGCGGAGTATGAGGGGAAAAATAATCTCCTTTTACAGCAACTGCCAGCATCAGTGTGACCACCAATGTAAAAAGGGCTCAGATGTTTTTACCACTTGAAAACCTGTTCTGAGCTGGGGTTTTTTGACACAATGTTAAAAATACCTGGACTGTAATGCCAGTGGTGGCTTATCATTGGTGCAGCTGCTGTAAATATAGGTATTTAATTTTTCGAGTGTAGATGCATTCCCTCTGTTCTCTCTGAAATGATATCTGCCCTGCCCATTCTTTCTGAATTCCTAGAGGAATTACAGAGGAAACTAGCAAGACCAGAAGCACCATAAACAATGGTTGTTTCATACCGACATAATTTTTTTTAACTTTTTCATTTTTAATAGAAAAGTACAGATTATTCTAGCCATCTGCCAGCATTTCTCTAAGCCATATGGAGCCCAATGTTTAGAGCAATTTTTCTGTGATTAAAGGTTATTCAGATCTCTCCCTCGTTCATCAGGCAGAGGAGGCTTTGAACAATTTCTGTTCAAAGAGCCACATTTTCTAGCAAATAAAATGGTGTTTATAAAAAGAAGGTCTCTTTATTTTCTGGGGATATTATATAGTGTTATATTAATGTTGCCTTGACCTTCTTTAAAGGAAATCTTTAGGGAAAATGTATGGTTGCCTAGGTGCATGTGATCTAATTTCTTTTATTATGTGCAAACAGAATATGGTGCTATCCAATAATATATATACTTGATGCTTTAAAGAGGCCAGTTCCCCAGAGCTGAAACCAATCATGAGGAAAACTGAGTGGGTGGAAATGCTTAAACATAAAAACAGGAATGATGATTGGTAATTGTATTAAAAATGCTTTGATAGATGCCCAAAAAACACAATTCTGCAATCATGAAAGATGATTTCTTTTGGTTAAAAGCCATCTTGGTTAAGAGGGGAGGTGAAATAAGTGCGTGCCCTGTGTGAGTGTGTATTACACATACAAATGGAGAAGCTGATAGCAATGAATACAAATACAGCAGTTAGGAAATGCAGACAATTGATAAGGGAAGCTAACGTTATCAGTCAGTAGGAGTAAGAACAATAAGAAGGAATTCTTTAAATATGTCAGGAACAAAGAAAATCCTATCAATGCAGATTAAGTGGGGATTTAAATTATTGTCCTTGTCCAGCTGAAAATATCAGAAGTGAATCTTAACTTCAACTAGCAACAAGTGCTTGATAAGCAAAATATTTGGGGTCTGCTCTTAAAAGCTGCTGAGCACCTAGACTTTCAAGGCAATTGAAGGTATCAGCACCTTGCAGGACTGGGGACTGATTCAAAGGTCTATTGATTGCCTTGGAGAGTGAATCCTTCTGTCTGATGAATCAATTTCTGAGAAAAAAGGACTGCATGTTTTTTCTACATATTATATAATGTATGTATTTTACATATTTTCCATTGGCACTCTTATTTATTTTGCCTGAATTCATATTTGATACATGAAGGTGAGTACAACATTTAACACAGGCTCATATGCACTTTTTAAAATCGTTCCCCTGGGAACATTGGGATGCACTCCTTTGAATGATAAAAGCTTGCATTGTAGCTTGTATACTACACTTCTACCCTGATATAACGCGACCCGATATAACATGAATTCGGATATAACGCGGTAAAGCAGTGCTCCGGGGGGAAGGTGGGCTGCGCACTCTGGCGGATCAAAGCAAGTTCGATATAACACGGTTTCACCTATAACGCGGTACGATTTTTTGGCTCCTGAGGACAGCGTTATATCAGGGTAGAGGTGTGTATGGTTCTCTTTAGAGGTATGAAAAGTGACAGAGCACTTCCCACTGCTGAGTTTTGTAAAAGGAGGCAGAAAAATATTATCCCATGCCCAGGGGTATGATTTCAAGAACTCTGGAATATTGCAAATCATCAGCCATGTAATTGGATCTTGTTTTTGTTTAAAGAAATAAAATTTAGAAGTTCTGTTTTTGTTATGTAGTCTCTGTTCTAGAAAATCTGCACAAGGCTACTGTTGAATTTGATCATAATTGGTTGCTAAAAATAAGTATCATTTATGCAGCTTTTCTTCTCTGAAGCTCTTAGCAACAGAGTTGCTTGAATTTGAAAGGGTGCAAGTGCATGTGTTAGTAACTTATTTAACTCTGGTAAAATGAGTGGAGCAGTTACTCAATGTGAAATTTGAAAAACAATTTTTTTTCTATTTTTTTCCTATTGGTGAGTCATAGCCTGTCCCCTGTGTCTGCATGACATATTGGCACCCTCAGTTGCCATAAATACTGTCTAGAGTTCGTACGGTACTTGCTATCAGTGGGGTTCCAGGGAACATGCTAGTGTTATTTGTTGCAAAAGAGACAGGTTGACATTACTTGATTTCTGAGTGCAGTGGCGCTGATAAATAGTTAAATGATTCCCTATCTAGTGCTCAAAGTTCTTCAGAACCTCCCGTTAACCTCTGAGGTTGGTCTTCAGGTGTCTTTCATAATTGCTATACTGTCTACTCAGAGTGTTCAGGAAATAGAATTACAGAATCAAAACATATACAGACAATGTATGAAAAAACAGTATATGGTTGTGGCCTTCCCTATGTTCCTTGTCGTCTTAGATTATAAACTTTCAAAGATGTCAATCTCTGCGCACCGTACATAGCATAATGGGGTCCTGATCCTGCTTAGAGCCACTGCGTGCTACTGGAATATACATAATAGACAGGAAGATTGTCCCATCGAACTAGACTACTGTATTTCCCATCCAGATAAAATGATTTTGAGGTCTGGTCTTGCCTTTATCCCAAAGATCAACTCAGACCATCACAGATCACAAGATATCAACCTTCCATTCTGCCCAAATCCTGAGCATCTAAAAGAGAGACAGTGGCACCCCATGGACATGCAGAGAACAGTTAAAATGCATCTAAATACAACTGTAGGCTGCAGAAAGCTTACTGCGCGCCTAGTGCTTTGTCACTGCTGGTCATGGACAAGGCCTCCTTAGTAAGGAGAATCAGCCTGTGGATCATAGATTCATAGATTCTAGGACTGGAAGGGACCTCGAGAGGTCATCGAGTCCAGTCCCCTGCCCGCATGGCAGGACCAAATACTGTGGAATTATACAAGGCCAGAAGACCATTAAATGACGCAAGGGTCCACCTCAGTGGTTGCCAGGTCTCAGGTTGTTTAAACTGATTAGTATAAAACTGATTAACCTTTTCTAATGACCAGTTGCACTTTTTCCCCTGATACTCACCACTACAATATAAAGCAAAAAGGATAGTTTATTTCATCACAAGCAATGGGAAACAGCGCATTGTCTGCCTTCAAAATTATAAGATTTTTTTTTCCTCACAGGCTGTAGGCTTTAAAATGTTTTGGATAAATATGATTAATGTTTTAATATTCAAACACTTATTATTAGGATGGCGGGTCCTTGGATCAAGTACTGAAAAAAGCTGGAAGAATTCCAGAGCAGATTTTGGGCAAAGTTAGCATTGCTGTAAGTATATTTGTAATGTACTCTGGGAAGCAGGGACCAGATGTCTCCATATTATATTAGGATAGTGCCAGATCCAGAAGGCAAAAGCAGCCGGTTTGGGGGATTGAGGAAAATTTAAGTGGGACAGGCAAATATTACTAGGCTTTAAAGTGGTTTTTCTTTTTTTAAGAGAGATTTTTTTTTTTTTGTAATACATGTCACCACTTTGTAACTAAGGGCATTTGGATGGATCACACATATTCCATTGTGTGTGTTTGCTTTGATTTTCCACTAAGGGATGTCAGCTGCTGTTACTACCACTGGGTGGGAAAAGAACCAGCAAAATAATTAAAATGGTCTATTCAATGTTTTGAATGTTACCCTTTAAGTATCTGTACTGCAGTAGGTTGTGTCCATGACATTTCTGGTGGTTGTTTGGTTAACATGATTCTCTTTTATGGGCAAAGTGGAGTATAAATTTTAACATGACTGCCTTTTATTTTCTCTTTGAATTCTTGCCAGGGTGTGTTGTGCTTTTGATTGTAGATGACGTTTTGAAATTCTTGCTTGGACGAAACTCATGTTTTCATTTTTACTAGTTTTACAGCTTTGAAATGTTGAATTTTCTTTTCTCTAGGTGATAAAAGGTCTCGCATATTTGAGAGAGAAACATAAGATAATGCATCGAGGTAAGACCATGCATTATATCCCTGGCTTCTCTTTTCCTTGTATATTGAACATCAATAGAAATCAAGAGGTGGTTTTTTTTTTTCCTGTTTGTTTTTCAGGCTTTTATGTCTCCGCTTGAATTTTTTTTCACTTGATGGATTGTTTCTCCAATCTCTCTTTCGACCATTAACCCTGTAGCTGGTGGGTGCTCTCACCACCTCAGTATGTTGCAGGTGTGATGAGCATTCTTTGAAATGTTAGCATTTCAAAGGAAATTCTCTGGCATGGGAGGCAGCTCTGCATGCGGCTTCCATCCCATCACTATGCAGTGGTGGTGATGTAGCTGTGTGGGTCCCAGGATGTTGGAGACACAAAGGGGATGAGGTAATAACTTGTATTGGGCCAACTACTGTTGGTGAAAGAGACAAGCTTTGAAGCTTACCAACAGGTAAGCCCAAGCCAATCAATGAGAGACATGTAAGAGTGGGTGTTTGTGTGATTATATATCTGATATACTCTCTTGCTTTATGAAGAAAACTGTTAAAATACATTATGAAACAGTATTTATGACATTATAGTTCTCTAATTGTAATGGGTTTTCTTCTGGTCGCAACAGGTCTATTAGCCATCTTAGCTAAAAGCTTTGAAGCGGTTCAAAGAAATACAACACGCTGCTTTTAATTTCTGTTAATTTCCATTATCGCCATTAAGACTGTGGTTCCTCTTTAAATTAAAAGTCACAGGCTTTTAGTCGATGTCTCAGGCATTCATGTGCTATTTATAGAAGTCTACCAATCAGAAGCGCAGCCCTTTATATTTATTACCTCGTTGAACGGTTGTTAACAACATGGGTAATTGTTAAATCACATAAAAAAGAGGCAGGAGCTTAGTTCTAAATCTGCCCAGGTCTTTGAATAGACTTCACTGTGGGGTAAACACCCCTATTGTTTCCTGCATCGTTTACCTTAGCCTTTTAAATCCAGCTGTTTTTTTAATCGGCTGCATGTCCTACTAAGTCAGAAATGGCGCTTGTGAAATAAAACATTCTGTAGTTTCTTAGGTCACTATAAATTACGCACCAGAGATGGCTTACTCTACATTTTTGTTGCCTCAGCTCATTGCAGTGATTATACAATATAGCTCTCAGTACTGACCATTCAGCTAGTCTCTTGCATCATTTAGGATTCCACAGACTTTTGGTTATAAAAATATTCCATTCATCAGACTAGTCACTTGATACGTGGTTGTTAGCAAACCCAAGAAAGGATGAATAGGAACGCATGTAGATGTGACAGATTGAAGAACCATTTTAAACATGATGCAATAGTGGGATTTATTACATGTTCTCTTTTGGGTTTTACAAACAGTTGAATATAGGCTTCTGCCAAAGAGGTAGTAGGGTCTTCATATGGATTTCTGATGGTAGCTGCAAAGGAATGTGGTTCTTAGTTTAGCGCTTAACAAGGTTTCTTGGAAAAGAGACCCGCTGTTTTAGGGCAGACCAAAAATGTGACACTTGCACACTCTCAACACCTAGGTCAGCAATGGCATAACTCCTTTGACATCAGCGGCCTCTAATGACAGTGCAAAATTTGATCCTTCAGTATTAAACATCGTAATGATGGGTGTGGGGAAGAAGGAGAATAAAATGAACTATATAGCAGTGTGGCTTTTTTTCTGTTTTGTTTGGTGGTAGTGGTGATTTTCAGGAGGGGTTGTTTGAGGGGGTTGTGTTGTTTGAGATTTTCTTGTTTGTGTTTGTTTTGCAACATTTAGACTTGCATATTTTTGTCATTGGTATATTTTTGAGGTTATAAAAGGGAAAATCAAACCACACCACCTCTGGTGGTGATCCCATCACATCTTGTAAAAAGACATAGTTTGGCCTAGTCAGTAGATGAATGGGACACCTCCAAAAAAACACCTTTGTAGTGTTGATAATTCAGTAAGTTGGTGGCATTCTTCGGTCTGACCTCTGTTCTGATGGAGATACTGGCTGCATTTTCAAAAGCTCCAAAATGACTTAAAAGCCAAGTACTATTTTCAACAATGACTTAGGAGCCAAAGTCTCATTGAAAGTCAATGGGATTTAGGCTCCAAAGTCTTGTAAGCATTTTTGAAAATTTTACCCTTGATCCTTTGTAGAAATCATAGAAATGTAGGCCTGGAAAGGACCTTGAGAGGTCATTAAATCCAGCCTCCTGCACTGAGGCAGGACCACGTCCCTGACATGTGTTTATCTAACCTGTTCTTAAAAATGGAAAACAGATGATCACTGTCCTCTTTATAACAGTCCTTAACAGCCTTCAAATACATTATCAGTCTTCCTTCAGTCTTCGTTTCTGAAGACTAAATGTGGCCAGTTTTTTTTTTTAACGTTTCCTCATAGGTCAGGTTTTCTAAACCTTTTACCGCCTTAGTTGATCTGCTCTGGACTCTCTCCAGTGTAGGAAAGATGTAGACAAAGTGTTGTGCCCAGAATTGGACACAGTACTCCAGCTGAGGCCGCACTAGTAACGAATAGAGCGGGTTACCTCCTGCGTCTTATGTACAACACTTCTGTTAATACACCCTAGAATATTAGCCTTTTTCACAACTGCATCACGTTGTTGACTCATGTTCAATTTGTGATCCACTATAACCCACAGATGCTTTTCAGCAGTGCCACCACCTAGCTAGTTATTCCCCATTTTGTAGTTATGCGTTTGATTTTTCCTCCCTAAGTGAAGTACTTTGCATTTATCTTTATTGAATTTTATCTTGTTGAATTCAGACCAATTCTCCAATTTGTCAAGGTCATTTTGAATTCTAATCCTGTCCTCCAAAGTATTTGCAACCTCTCCCAACTTGGTGTCATCTGCAAATTTTATAAACATGCTTTCCACTGCATTATCCAAATAATTAATGAAAATATTGAATAGTACTAGTCCCAGGACTGACCCCTGCAGGATCCCACAAGAGTCACCCTTCCAGTTTGACAGTGAACCATTGATAACTATTGTTTGAGCATGGTCATTCAAGTAGTTGTGCACCCACCTTATAGTAATTTAATTTAGACCACATTTCCCTAGTTTGGTTATGAAAATGTCCTGTGAGACTGTGTCAAAAGCCTTACCACACGGAGCTGCTCAGCACTATGCAACTACTGCTCTAAAAAGGGGTTTGGGATCTGTACCTGGTTGCCTGAGGCAAGTGATGATGGTGGTTCCTTTATTTGTTGTTGGCATGGGCCTGATTCAGATCTTTTCATTTGTTGTTGGTGGGCTCAGATCCAAACCCACCTTACCATTCCAAAACCGGGAGGGGCCTATTTTCTGCTAATTGTTCAGCTGCATTGAGAATCTCTCAAAAACAGGCATTCTCATAGGATTTAGGCCCAAGGGGGTAGAGATCTGGTGAGAATAGCTAGTGTTGTTTTATGGTACCTAACTGAACCTGAGCCCCACGAAAATCTGGATCTGAGAACCAACCACCACCTCCTTTCTAGTTTGACACTAGATTCTTACTTAAAGGTGGTCAGCAGTGTAAAAACTCGTGTCTCTTTTCTGAGTTAAATTCTGCCACAGGTTGTGTCGAGATACCACAAAGTCTGGGTTTCTGTTGGACAGTTAATGGTGATACTCTATTCTGTACCCAGCCTTTTCTACTCGACACACTGAAAACTCACATGGTGGGAAGTGCTTCTTGCTACTTATAAACTCTGAAACTTAGTTTTAAAATTAACTTGAGCTAATATTCGCACTTGTGGACCTCCTGCTGCCAGTCATTATCTTGGGATGCTGGTGTTAGTGGAAATCAATGAGAGATGGCAAACCACTGTTAAAGTGCAGTGAAAAACATTTTAAATAATTTGAATAAGAAGTCTGCTGTTTGAATTTGTTGGTACATATCAAGGAGCTACAGATGTCCTTTTGTTTTTAAATCCCCAATAAAGCTGGATGGAATCTCACTTGCTGTCTCTGATACTGAGCCTCCATGTATTTGAGCATAAGCTTTTGTGGGCTACAGCCCACTTCATCGGATGCATAGAATGGAACATATAGTAAGAAGATATATATACACATACAGAGAACATGAAAAGGTGGGAGTTGCCCTACCAACTCTAAGAGGCTAATTAAGATGAGCAATTATCAGCAGGAGAGAAAAAAATTGTTAGTCTCTAAGGTGCCACAAGTACTCCTGTTCTTTTTGCGGATACAGACTAACATGACTGCTACTCTGAAACCTGAGCCTCCATTCTATCACCGTCACAAACAGGTGTCACTTTTCACTCCTCTGGTGGCTGCCATATAACACACTCAATAGCAGAAGTTTTTAATTAAAACTTGATTTTAAAAAGTTCTCTTTCACAGTTAGGACATGGTGAGAATTGCATCTCTCCATGGGAGCTCTGTGAATGCTGCAAGGAGTAGAATGAGGGATTAATCCAAAACCATTGTAGTTAAAGGGAGTATTTTCATTGACATCAGTGTGCTTTGGATCAGGCCTACAATGGAGCTTTCTTTGTCAAGTTGATAAAGATTTATGATCTTTCGAATGTATATCTTGAAGTGAATGCCAGCGTGTTTCATTGTCCTGGTTGGTGACCTATTGAATAGCTTTGATGACTGATTTTTGGGAGTGCATTGAGGACGCTGACTTTCTGGCTTAGCAGGTGCTAGATATGAAGCATCAATCAGTCAGTTGATGTGAAGGGGCTGATTGTGTCATTTAGGAAGTGATCTCTTTTTTCTGATGTTTGGCTCCTCACTGGCAGTGTCATCTAATAGAAGTAAAGCAGGCAGTGCTTAGAGTAGTTTAGTAGAAGCGAAGATGACACTGGCAAGGCGTGGATTGAACTAGTACACAGGGCTAAGGTGTAGTGGCACCTCTTCCACTCTCCTTCCTTGTTCTCTGGACTCTAAGAATCAGTTAATTAAAAAAAGTTTGTGTCTCTAGCCATTGTTGCCGGGATACACTTGGGTCACGTATTTGAGACTAACTGATGCGGTGACGGCTGCCTGTTTGCACAACCTGAAAT